TCTTTCTGCCTCTTCTGTAGTTCTTAGTTTTATTTTTGGTAAAGTTTATCATTTTTACTTCCTGGTTGGACATTGGCAGCAGTTGTGACAAATGTAAATGTAGTTCCACACCTTTCACCTAGCCACCATAATCTTAAAGATGCCATCTGTAACTAGGTTGGTGAACTGGGAGATGTTGTATTCTCACATATCACCACCAAATACTAAATTACTATCATCTAAATTACTATTATCTGATAGAAGACCAGCGAGCACAGGTGAGTCTGAACAAAAGCCAAGGGAGGTGATGGGAGAGGAGAGGGGGAACAGGTGTTACTTCTGCTGTCTACTGGTGAAAAGAAAAGGAAAAAATCAAACAAATAAGCTTGTGGATGGTGGCTTTAGCAAGGGTCCAAACTTGACTACCATATTTTCCGGTCTATAAGTTACACAGGACTATAAGTCGCACTTTTTGGGGAAATCTGTTTTATAAAATCAGAGCCCAGGAACCGACATTTCACCTTGAAAGGCAAATTATAGTAATAACAATAGAACAGAGAACAACAGACTGAACAGGCGTTAATTTGTTAACGTAACATATCAATAGTTATTCAGATAATTATAACATAAACAACATAACATAAGTTTACCAAACTCACAATCTCACTCCAAATCACTAAATCCATTGAATTCTTCATCCTGTGTGTCACTTCTGCGCGGGATAAACCATCGATCCATGAGGTAAACAGCACACCACTTCCTCCTCTGTGTAGCTGTTGTCAGACTCAGAATCAGTTCCACTTAGAATTATTCCGGCCTTTGTGAATCTCGACAGGATGGTTTCGGTTTCAGTTGTCATTGAAGTTCAGGCTTTGTCGATTCATCCAGTGACTTCCAGGAAAGTTGCATGGTGCACCCGCCCAGTTCCCGTGAAGCTGTGTTCTCCATCCTCGCGCTTTCCGCCAGTCCCTCACAAGTTTCTCGTTCACTCCAAAGTTTCTTTCTGCTGCTAGATTACCGTTTTTACTGAATATTTCACTATTTGCAGCAGGACAGCAGCTTTTTGTACAGGAGACATGTGAGTGCGAAGTCACAGTGGTATAGGAGTAATAAGAGTAATAGATCCTGGCACACAAGCCTAGAGCCTCTCACAACTGTCAGTCTGGAAATTTTAATATATAAGTCGCCAGTGTTGTGCATGAACGAGTTCAAAAGAACGCGTTCATTGAACACGTTCATTTTTCAGTGAACTTTGAACCGCAACACTTTTGTAAATCAAGAACTTGAACGTGAATTTGTTCAAATTATGTGTGATGAACGACGTACGTCACTGTTGGGCTTCAGTTAAACGTCGGGATTTGACGAGTGACGATCTGCTCGCACTTCACCTCGCGAAACCGCAGCCGCGTGTCAACGCGAAGGCGACTCCACCGGCAGCTTTAGTGGAACATACGGGCTCTTGTGTCTCTCAATGGGAAAGTCAATCAAACTTGACTGGGCGCGTTTAGCTGCTTGTATTTTCCTTCTATACAGACTGACCACGGCAAACGCAAGGATTTCAAAAGTTAATTTCAAAGCACTAATTAACAGTCTATGTGGATCTGGGCTCTTTCACATGATACACAACTGCCCAGGGAGCACAATGTGCTGATGGTAAATGCACAAATACAACAATAGATACATGCGCTCTGTGTATTTTGACGGGGATACGCGCCTACGCTCGTGTAGAGCGTCAAAAAATAGGATGGATCCTATTTTCTGAAATCTACACGCACAGGACGTGCTGCTCCGCGCGCGTATTATTTTTACTTGGTACATATTCAGCAACGCGCGTCACAATGCTTTTTTAACCTGGATTGAAATGGTGGGTTTTTCGTTTTTCTTCATACAAATTTGCTAAAATCACCGCCCGCGATATCAGCAGCGGTGAAACGCCGGAGGTTCGCCCGCGTAGACCGTGATCCTGAGCGAAAGGACCGACGCAGAAGTCCGCGCTCCACCGAGATAAACGCAGCTGACGCCCGATCGCACTCGGGGTTCTCTCAGGGGCGCTCCTAGATTCCAAGTTCTAGTCCAGGATTAGTCCTGGTTTGGTCCTGGTTTAGTCTTGGTTTAGTCCTGTTTTAGTCCTGGTTCAGTTCTGGTTTAGTCCTGGTTCAGTTCTGGTTTACCTGGTTCAATTCTGGTTCAGTCCTGGTTTAGTCTTGGTTTATTCCTGGTTTAGACCTGGTTCAGTCCTGATTTAGACCTGGTTTAGTCTTGGTTTAGACCTGGTTCAGTTCTGGTTTAGTCCTTTTCAGTTCTGGTTTAGTTTAGTCCTGGTTCAGTTCTGGTATAGACCTGGTTTAGTCCTGGTTTAGACCTGGTTCAGTTCTGGTTTAGTCCTTTAGACGTGGTTTAGTCCTGGTTTTAGTGGTTTAGTCCTGGTTTAGACCTGGTTTAGACCTGGTTCCTGGTTTAGACCTTTGGTTTAGTCCTGGTTTAGTCCATATACGGTGCAAAAGTTCAGCATCTTAACAGTTCGTTTGGTGAGAGTAAATTAAAAGTGCTGCAATAGTCGTGTAATGTTTTACATTTTAAATACAGTAATATTGTAATGTAACAAATGACTTTGAAATGACAGTAACAAGTCATAAATAACACATTACAGTTTTAAAGTCACTTGCCCAACAGTGTATCTTATTTAAGTTGTAAACTAGAAGTCAGTTTGAAAAAAATGCAGCCTTTCATTTACAGATCTCAATTTGAACTTGAACTAGTTCGAATTTAAAAATATGAACTTCATGAACTGAACTATTGAACTTTGAACTTGTGAACTGAACTTTGAACTTAATTAAAAAGTGTGAACTTGCACAACACTGTAAGTCGCTCCGAAGTATAAGTTGCAAGAAACACCCAAACAATGAAAGAAGTGCGACTTATAGTCCAAAAAATACGGTAAATTATAGAATAGTTATGATTAGGCTGATGAAAATAAACAGCCAGAAAATTGTGTTCCTTGCACATAAATTGTCCCTGCGTTCTGGATGGAATTTTCTATGTTCACTGCATCTTCCATTTAAATGATGTACATTTAGAAATATCCAGTAGGGGTGAGATGAGATACAATTTCCATAAGACAAGATGAGAAATGAGAGTGGATCTACGACAATAAGACAATTTTGACATAATTTGTTATAAATGGTGTGATCCAGTTTCCAATTTTAGCCTTGCAATTTTTACTGTATTTAATATTTTTGCTGTCATTGTAGCACTGCTTTTTGGGACTACAGCTTCTCAAAAATTGTAATTTACCAAAAATAACTTCTTAATTTAGGTTGACAGAGACAATCAGTTTTTGTTTTTTTTTTGTTTTGTTTTTTTTGTTTCATGTGGATAGGCCCAGCTACATCAGTATTAACAATAAACCAACCAGGGCAAAACATTTCTATTTTGACAATTTATGGACTTAAAAACTGCTGGGAGTTCTACATATAATATACCAATTAGAGCCCGACCGGTATAGATTTTGCTGTGGCCGATATGAAACCGATATAATGGGAGTTGGCGCTGCCGATAGCCGATATAATCGCCGATATATTTAGTGATGTAAAAATTCACTGTAAATGTTGAATTGTTTAAAAAACTTAGGTTTGGCTCTGATGGATTTTAAATTGGGTTTATTTAGGCAACATTTATTGTTATTCTGCCTCTTTACATCATATTTACAGACAGTAGGTTGGTTTAATGGCATTTTTGCATCACATTCTAGACACTAGTGATGGGTATTCCAGTTCTTTTTAGAGAACCGGCTCTTTTGGCTCAGCTCACTAAAAGCTGCTGGTTCTTTTGGCTCCCAAGTGGCTCTTCAGATTGTTTTGTTGCAAGCAGGACTAAAGCACGTCTAAAGCAGGACTGAATCAGGACTGAACCAGGTCTAAACCAGGACTGAAAAAGGTCTAAACCAGGACTTATTTATTTTATCCTAAACTACAGCCAAATATGCTCAGTTTTTTTTTTTTTTTTTTTTTATCCTATGTACACGCAAATTTCTCAAAGTTTCGTTTTCAGCCGCTGCCGCTGTCAAACCTCGAGTCTGCACGCGGCGTGAACAGGAAAAAAAGTGACAGAAAGAGAAAACACGGCTCCCAATAAGGATCAGGCTCCCGTCGTTCGCTTCAAAGAGCCGGCTCGAAGAGTCATTTCGTTCGCGACGGACCCATAACTAGTAAAGAAACTAGCGCCGCGGTAATTAATTATATGCGCAAATGTCATAATTCACACGTCTATTCACAGCTCATTTCCATATCAGTGCAGGTCCAGTAACAAATATACGGCCAATGTAGTCACTTTACAATAGACCAATAGAAAACAGCCTGTTTATGTGCGGGAGCTACAGCAGCTAACCCATAACGAATGACTAAAACTAGCTTCAAAGTCGACATATTTCCAACACTCACCGTTCATACAGGCTCCTCTCACATCACAAGTTTGCACTAATAAATGTCCTTTTAATTCAGACTCAAACCGATTGTCCGTAAAAAGAATATAATCTCAGTGTTTGGATCTGTGTCTGCAGGTGTAAACAAACACGCGTGAGTGATGCGACTCTATGGTGTGTTCAGGGACAATATGGACACACGCACGGATAAATGACTCCGTAGATAAATACTGATGTGGAGCCACATATTAGGACATTTATCTGTCTGTAAATTGGATTAAATGAACATAATGTAGAGAGTCTAAGATTTTTAACGACGTATCACATGCCCACGTGAAATATCGGCCCCTATCAGCAAGCATATCGGCCGATAGCCGATATGTCCTCGAGGTGCACATATCAGCCGATATATCAGTAGGGCTCTAATACCAATAATGGGAATATTCTAATCACATGTTCTTTGGATTAGAGGCAGAAGACTAAGATAAGATAATCCTTTGTCTTGCATGACAGAAGTTTATCTTGGGACAGGGGTAAAAGGCAGATCATTATCCTACTGTACAGTTGTGACATTTAAAAAAAAATGTATTCTGTTTTTCAGATCAAATCGATGAGAACCTTAAGAGAACATTACAGGAGGATCTGACGACAATGGCACCTGGACTCATCATACAGGTACATCATTATAGCAGATGTTTGATTTTCCATAGAGCTTGAGCCAGAATCTTGGTCAAGAGTACTTAGCTGTCTTACTAGGCTACTATGCATGGAAAAATAGCAGGTTGTATTGTATTAATGCTTATTTGTTAGATACAACCTATGGATTATATCTAAAAATAATCAAAAGTTGACAATTGATCTGCAAATTATAATATACAGATAGTTTAAAGAGGAGGTATCATGCTTAATTATTATTTTTTGACCTTTCATCCATGCATGTTTGTGTTATCTTGCAATCTCTTCCGGGCCCTATTCAAACCCTCCTTTTTATTAGCAGTGCCACTCTGTCCAAGACTCAGCCAGGCAATTCTCCATAAATATACAAAAACTTACAAAAGGAAGAGGTGTAGGAAGTGTGTTTGGAAAGGGAAGTGTGGGCCTCACTGCTCAGAATGGATAAAGCGTAAGAAAATAAATGGAAATACAAAAGCGTGATACGAACCAATACACCACAACTTCACAAACCTGATGTGATATATAGTAGTTTCAAATGACACAATTTTCAAAACAATAAAATGATTATCTAAATAAAAAAATATAAATAAAAAATCTTTAATGTGTGTGCAGAGATGTAATACCCCCTCTTTAAATAACACACATTATGCAAATCTTTACTCTGAGGTTTATTTTAATACAATCTGATGCTGACAGAGGAGCTCTTGAACTATGTGCCATTTGAGTTGCTTCACAGATAATTATATTTCGTAGTAGGGATGGGCATGATTAGTCGACTAATCGATAATTGATCATTAAGAATTTTGTCGATCATGTTCATCGACAAACCGAGTGTAGGTTGCTGTGCGTAGCGTAGTGGAAGGAGACAAGGCTGCATCTAACACAAACATTGGAGTTGCGGCCTTACAGTCCCATGTTTCAACTATGGCACCTCCTTGGAGATCACTGTACCTCTCAGTGAGTGTGTTTACATACACATCAGTGTCCCAGGTATGATTGCGTTTTTTGAGTATCTCGGTTTAGTGCACGTAAACACAGTATCGCAGTTACTGCCACATAAAGCTGAGTGCACGTGTGTCCGAAAGACAAATGCTTTTCAGTCTTTTCATCACAACAGTAGCCAAAATAAATAAAGTGACCAACATAATTAAAGTGAGTGAAATGACTGTTAAATAAAGAGCTGCACTAAACCTGCACACGTCTGATCTCTAAAAACATGAACCATCTCCAACGAGACACACACACCATCATCATCATCATCCCTCTGTCACAGAGAGAACACTTATATTCCACTGAGTTGTGTCCTTTAATCCGACAAAAGCTGACTGCATCAGCAGCATCAGCACTACAAGGAGCGAGCCGTTGTGTTCAGCACTTACAGTTTATGCAAATGAGCCATGTGGTTTCGTTTCTGTAAAACATTAACAAACGTGTCAAAGCTGCATTAAACACATTATATATGATCAAACAGGCTGATGTGGCTCTATGGTAGTTATGGTTTATGTGTTGTAAAGTTGAGTTTATTTATTAATAGATAGTAATAATGATGAAAATTTTAATATTAAAACATCAATGATTAATCGAAAATCAGTCTTTAATTCTGCTGATGATTGATTAAGACAATTTGGAATGCCCATCCCTATTTTGGTGTATACAGTCAATTGTACAGATTTTTCCTGTGCAGTTTTTAAGCCCATAAACCATCACCAGGCTTGTTCTACGGTGTGTTCACAACCAACACATGGCTGTATTAGCATTGCATTCATGGAGGATAAGGCTGACAGCAGGGGGAGCTTCAGTGCTTATATGCCTCCTTAGAAATGAAGGTGAAGTTTATAAAGTATATTTTCCAAATGCAGTCATTACTACATTTTACCCAAATAACACAGTGAATGTTCAAGGGACATGCTGTTGTCCTCATAGAATCAAGCCTTGAAGCCTCTCTTTCAGTGGTTAATTCACACCAGTGGAGTATCAAAAACTGAAACCATTGCAATACTTTCAATACTTAGCGTAAATACTTGAATTAATTTATTTTCAATTGGTTGTTTTAATTTTTTAGATTTTGATGATTGATATTTAAAAATCAGTTTTTTCATGGGATTCTATAATTCCTGCCTTTGTGTGAGTGGCAAATAGTAATTCAGCGCATCAAAAATGAAAGTGAAACATATCAAACATTTTAATACGTTGTTTTCATCAAATATAGGTAACATGGTGATCTAAATAGTTATGTGTTTAACAATTAGCAATTAATAATACCCCATAAAAGTGTATTAACCACTTCTTAAAATAACTTGCATATAAATGTTCAATTACCGTATTTGTCGGACTATAAATCACTCTGGACTATAAGTCGCACTTTTTGGAGGAAATTTATTTTTATAAAATCAGAGACCAGGAACCAACGTTTCATCTTGAAACGCAAGTTATTGTAATAGCAATAGAACATAGAAAAACAGGCTGAAGAGGCGTCTGGTATGTTAACGTCACATATGTACAGTTCTTCAGATAACTATAGCACAAACAACAGAACAGAACAAGTTTACCAAACTCTCCATCTCACTCCAAATTACTAAATCTATTGAATTTTTCATCCTCGGTGTCACTTTTGAGCAACTCTGCAACCTCCGGAGGTAAACAGAGCGCCATTTCCTCTTCTGTGTAGCTGTCGTCCGACTCAGAATCAGTTCCAGTTAGAATTATTCCGGCCTTTCTGAAGTCCAGGCTTTGTCGATTCATCCAGTGACTTCCAATAAAGTTGCATGGTGCACCCTCACGGTTGCTGTAAAGCTGTGTTCTCCATCCCTGCTTTCCACCAGTCAATCACAAGTTTCTCGCTTACTCCAAACTTTCTTTCTGATGCTCCATTACTGTTTTCAGCGGAATATTTCACTGCTTGCAGCAGGACAGCGGCTTTTTCTGCAGGAGACATGCACAGTAGAGGGTGAACTGACAGTGGTACAGTCGTAGCAGATACTGATACACAAGCTTAGAGCCTCTCGTGGCTTTCATTGTGAAAATTTTAATATATAAGTCGCACCAGAGTATAAGTCATAGGACCACCCAAAACATGGACAAAAGTGCGACTTATAGTCTGAAAAATTCGCTACTTGATATGTTTCCCAAGCTTCTATTTTTAGTCTGCTTTCCCGTTTGGACACTGACCACTTCCAAATCCTTATATTACAAAGCCAACCCAAACATTACATTAGAATTTTCCTGCGGTCTTGCTCCTCTCTAATCCCCTAAACACAACTAAACTTTTTTGGGCTTTTTTGTAACCATCCCACTGGGACTGCCGGTTTCCCGGAGATGTTTAAGAAGTAGTTAAAATAATAACTACTACTGTAATCTTAACCCGCTTGGAGCTTTTTGCTTCACTGAACAATTGCTGCTAATGGCTTTTAGCAGACCCAGACATATTTCATATCATAGTTCTCACTCATGAAATTCCAAATCTAGGCTACAGGGGTAATAAATCATCAATGGGTGATATAGATTTTTAGATTTAACTAGTAAATGCGTGACAGATTACAGTACTTTTCCACTGAAACATAGTTGATGTCATTATATTTAAGATTTAAGAAATGTTGTCTATCTTTTGTTAAGTATATACTGGTTCAACTGGCTGTATACTGGCTGCAGATATGACATATGTAGAGGTAATTCCATTTCTGTTCCCTAGCAGCTGTAATGTTAACAATGGTCAAAAACCATTGTTAACATTAACATATTACTTTTTAGGGCTTTTAACCATGTTATAGCATAGTTTCCCCTTCTCTTTTACCCTCTCAGAGTTGTATTTGGAGTGATTCATGTAAGTTTGAGCAATCTTTAATCACTTACTTTCTAGATGCCATATTCAAGAGATCAACTCACACCACTGGCATACCCCCACTTTGAAATACTTTTAAAAATCTGTGATACATGTAGGATTCGGCAGCGTCATATAGTCATTCTGGTACAAATGAAGATGAAAAAAATCCACTCCTCGCTAGTGTGATCTGCAGCTTCATATGAGATGACGACTCTTTATTGTGATGATGTTTACAGTGACGTCAGCTCCCATTGGGCACTGCAGGTTTCTAACACAGAAGTCAGTGCACTTGTGTCTTTTATTAAGTCATTTTAGATGAATGCGATTTTAAAATGTACAAATTGTAACATAATTATCTTCAGGTGTCATAGATTAAAACTATATAGTAGACACAAACACAAAGGTCATCTTTAAATCAGTATTTAATTCATCAGAAGAATGCTTGCACGTAAATTGTCTATGCATTTTGGATGGCATTTTTGGTGTGGATGACATAGGTAATGTCATGTTTAGAGCAGAAGTAGGACCCAAAATGCAAGACTGCATTTCTGAAGTTCTTTAATAAAACAAATTATGACCATACAACACAAAAGTCCACATAGACGTGACACTCATAATGACAAATGAACCAACAACGGGCAAAGGAGAACACGGGGTATATATACACACAAATGAATGAGACACAGGTGAGACACATTAGGGCAGGGCAACAATCAATACAATAGGAAGTCAAAACACACACACGGCTAGAGAAATACCAAATAAAACCAGGTCAAGAATAATAAAATAATTCAATGAAAATTAACACCATGACAGGTAGAGGTATTCTGTTTTAGAACTTTCGACTACTTCCTGTTTTTTAGTACTTCTCAACTTTTTTTTCCCCACAAACTGCTACTTAACTGATGTAAAACAATTGTTTTTTTTACTACAAGTACTATCATATCAAACCAAGTAATAATTACAAACACATGAAAACATGTCCTGTGCACTTTGTTTTAATTCTGTTGAAATATCTTGCATTTAGATCAATGGCATTTTCACATATTATTGTTATTTAATTCCTGAATATGAGGTATTTTTTAGCATCAGAAACACCTGTAATTGAATAAATGTAAAACAAACAAGTTTAATGCCTTACTGGAACATTTCAGACAAAGCAATAGCATCTCCATAGAGACTACTAGTAGGCGCTGGACACTTCACCAGAAACCCTGTGTTCTTTTTGGTATTAATGTAAAAATGTGTTTTTTGCCCTTTGACTGTAAAAATATTTAAAATGACTTCTTTTTGTTTTACCAAAAGGTGAGATTTGGAATAATATTTTATTTATACAGTAAGCAGATGAAAAGCATAAAATTTCAGTGTTTATATGAACTAGTCTCTGTCCTCTCCACAGGCGGTTCGTGTCACCAAACCAAACATACCAGAAAGCATTCGCCGAAACTATGAGCTTATGTAAGTATGAGCTTATTTATGTAAGTAAAAAAACAAAACAAAAAAGTTTTCCTCTTTTACCCTCAGTGTTAAATTTTATTTTATTTCCCAAATGAATGATTGACAAACGTAAAACAGATAATTGATCTAATTTATGTGATGACAATCAAACTGCCAAATGAAGAATTTTTTTTATTTATTTATTGGTCTTTTTGGACTTGGATCAGAAACTGTTGTGTAAGAAATGAGTGACAAGACAAAACATCTACTGAATTTGTGGGCTTATTTGCAATTACAGTCTGGTGTAAGCACCAGTGCTTTAAGCACTCCTACCAGAGAAGTAGGAGTGCTTAAAGCTGAATAGATAAATGCTTTATTGATCCCGGGAAATTTAATTTTCAGCAGCACCATTGAAACACAATAATTAAAGGCACTGTACCTGATGTTTACTGCACCTAATCTAAATTGTTCAATATTTGGAAATGACAGTGCGTGACCAAAGCACCAGGAGCAAAGTTGTTTCCCTTAGCTGAGATTTTTAATTACTTACTTTTAAAGTTTATTTTGACTTGTACTTATACATTTATATAATTATGGCTTATTTCACACCAGTCTCTTGTTATCTTTTTTTCTTATTATTTAGAATTCATTTTTGCCATTTATATTTTTTACTCTTTGTTATTATAATATATCATGATGTGTGAGTGTGTGTCCAAGTAATTTGTCTGGTGCATCAATAATGTTTGTCTAAGTCTAACTCTCATCGCTGATTTGGCACCGGGCAAGCACTTAGCAACCAGGTTGAGAGCTGTCAATCAAACTAACACTACTGTAGCAGTGCTGACCTTTGGGAAAGAAGGCACCTTATTGGTCAGTTATTAACGTTTGCATCTTGATTTACGGACAAAATAGTGAATTAGAAACACCAGGATCATGTAGAGCGAGTTAATATGAACAAGGGGGCACTGGTTTTTCATGATTAGATTTAGATAATTTAAAGTCACTGGTTTGAAGGAAGCAGAAGAATGCAGGGCTGCACGTGTAAAGATTGAGAAACATTATAGGGAAATCAAGATAACTGATTAATTAATTGATCTAATTTATGAGATGACAAACAGACTGCCAACTCAAGGGTCTTTTTTAGACTCAGATGTAACACTGTAAATGCCAAAAGCAATAAGTAACAAGACAAAACATCTAAGATTGCTTAAAGGCACTTAAAAACATGAAAAACAAAAGCACATGATCCAAAATTATTCTGCACTGACCTATTCACTTTGTTGAGTTTATAACCACTTTTCACCACTTTTAAAGGCCAGGGCAGAGGTTTGCTGTGAATTAGAACCAGACTTTGAAGAAGCCACTTTGCGCCCATGCTCACTTCTTATCTGGAATATGGTGACTACCCGCAGGCCATCTATGTCCACTCTGTGATCCCTCTTCCCCAGATTCACAATTGGGCCATTTTGCTGAATACAAAGTACTTTGAGGAAACCATGTCACCCCCATGCTTTGCTCATGCATTCTAAGCTTCCCCTTCTCTGATTCACAATTGGACCATTTTGGTAATTAGTATGACGTACTGTTTTCCCTCCTTCTACTACATAGGGTCATTTCAGATCAACAGCTCACAAGTTTCCACTAGGGTTGTCATCCTCCATTTTGATGGATGACCCAGCATCATGATGGAGAGCTGCCATCGTGATGCCAGTCCCCTTCCTGTCAGAAACATGCACTGATCTTATGTAAGCTTAATTACCCTAAAAACTTTGCAGGGATTGCACTGAAATAAATTAAATCACAAACATAACTGATATAACTAATATGCAGTGTTGTGCATGAACGAGTTCAAAAGAACGCGTTCATTGAACACGTTCATTTTTCAGTGAACTTTGAACTGAACGCAACACTTTTGTAAATCAAGAACTTGAACGTGAATTTGTTCAAATTATGTGTGATGAACGACGTACGTCACTGTTGGGGTTCAGTTAAACGTCGGAATTTAACGAGTGACGATCTGCTCGCACTTAACCTCGCGAAACCACAGCCGCGTGTCAACGCGAAGGCGACTCCACCGGCAGCTTTAGCGGAACGTACGGGCTCTTGTGTCTCTCAATGGGAAGTCAATCAAACTTGACTGGGCGCGTTTAGCTGCTTGTATTTACCTTCTGTACAGGCTGACCACGGCAAACGCAAGGATTTCAAAAGTTAATTTCAAAGCACTAATTAACAGTGTATGTGGATCTGGGCTCTTTCACATGATACACAACTGCCCAGGGAGCACAATGTGCTGATGGTAAATGCACAAATACAACAATAGATACATGCTCTCTGTGGATTTTGACGGAGATACGCACCTACGCTCGTGTAGAGCGTCAAAAAATAAAATGGATCCTATTTTCTGAAATCTACACGCACAGGACGTGCTGCTCCGCGCGCGTATTATTTTACTTGGTACATATGTCAGTAACGCGCGTCACAATGCTTTTTTAACCTGGATTGAAATGGTGGGTTTTTCATTTTTCTTCATACAAATTTGCTAAAATCACCGCCCGTGATATCAGCAGCGGTGAAACGCCGGAAGTTCGCCCGCGTAGACCGTGATCCTGAGCGAAAGGACCGACGCAGAAGTCCGCGCTCCACCGAGATAAACGCAGCTGACGCCCGATCGCACTCGGGGTTCTCTCAGGGGCGCTCCTAGATTCCAAGTTCTAGTCCAGGATTAGTCCTGGTTTGGTCCTGGTTTAGTCTTGGTTTAGTCTTGGTTTAGTCCTGGTTTAGTCCTGGTTCAGTTCTGGTTTAGACCTGGTTTAGTCCTGGTTCAGTTCTGGTTTAGACCTGGTTCAATTCTGGTTCAGTCCTGGTTTAGTCTTGGTTTATTCCTGATTTAGACCTGGTTCTGTTCTGGTTTAGTCCTGGTTAGTCCTGGTTCACAGTTCTGGTTTATTCCTGGTTTAGTCCTGGTTTAGACCTGGTTCAGTCCTGGTTTAGACCTGGTTCAGTTCTGGTTCAGTCCTGGTTTAGACCTGGTTCAGTTCTGGTTTAGTCCTGGTTTAGACCTGGTTTAGACCTGGTTTAGACCTGGTTTAGTCCTGGTTTAGACCTGGTTTAATCCTGGTTTAGTCCTGGTTTAGTCCATATACGGCGCAAAAGTTCAGCATCTTAACAGTTCGTTTTGGTGAGAGTAAATTAAAAGTGCTGCAATAGTCGTGTAATGTTTTACATTTTAAATACAGTAATATTATAATGTAACAAATGACTTTGAAATGACAGTAACAAGTCATAAATAACACATTACAGTTTTAAAGTCACTTGTCCAACAGTGTATCTTATAAAGTTGTTGTAAACTAGAAGTCAGTTTGAAAAATAAATGCAGCCTTTCATTTACAGATCTCATCTAAATATAAAATGAACTGAACTTTGAACAAGTTCAAAATTAAAATTGTGAACTATGAACGTGAACTATTCACTTTGAACAAGTGTGAACTGAACTTTGAACTAGTTCATGAAAAGTGTGAACTTGCACAACACTGCTAATATGCATGCAAGTTTATGTTTTATGACGTGTTAGTCTGTGAAAATACCATGTGGCTACACAAATAATTGTTAATCTCGACTTAATTGTTTTTTTTACATGTTTTACACTTTAAATATTTTGGAAGGTCCACTAAGCACTGGTACTAAAAAACTGCATCTATTTATCAGCAGTGCCAGTGCTCACTTGTCATGACTGCGCTCTGTGCCAATGTATTGCACAAGCAGCGCTCATGCTTAACATGTTCAACACGTTATACAAACAAAGAGGAGTGTGTCATTTTACCAGTGAAACAGAAGAGCTGAACAGAAGAGCTGAACATCATCAACTGCCAGCCCTAGTTTCCACACTCCATTATTCCTTTTTTAGGTTGCATTAGTATGTCCACTATCATTTCTATTTCACCCAGTTGGGGGTGCTAATATGTATTTTTTGCAATTTTGTCCACATTTTATATTGTGCTTGTTTTAAAAGTTTAATAAATGAATATGTGGCAGAATTTGATGTCTCCATAGGATTACATTATGACATATAACTTATTTAATCCAAGATGGCAGACTTAAGGGGAGTTGTTACTATAACATTTTTGTTCCTATTGCACCCCACAGGATAAACTCTCACTGTACCTAGTGGGCCTTGGAAATAAAGGGGTGGAATAGAGCGCATTAGGGCCCTTCTGTGAGTGTCTGGGTGGCAATGGGTGAGGGCCAATCATTGCCACTTGCAGCTATATTTGTGCTTTTTTTTTTTTTTTTTTTTTTCCCCCCCGTACTTCCAGCAAAGCATTCATTTTACTGTAATGGTCTTGAGAATTTCCTCTTTCTCCTCTGTGGGGGGGGGGTCCGTTCATCTGCGTTTGGACAGTGTTTCCAGTATAAGCAAATAGGGCTTTACAGAAGACTTACTTTGTTTCTATGCACAATTCACTGTTTATGAAAGAAGCAATGCAGGAATCCATGTGTAAAGACTGAGAAATGTTATATATTAACAGAATTGATTTATTAATGAAATGCCAGTCTACCTGATCAAACTGACCTGTATGTAAAACTGTGAATGCCAAAAGCAGTAAGTGGCAAGACAACTACTTTATTTGAGAGCATATTTCCACTGTATCTGATTCTTACTGTACCATAGGTTTAAGGTGTTAAAAATGTGAAAACCAGAACTAGGGTTTGCAGTGGTCCAAAGTTATTCGTCACTTACCTTATACTTTCCGGTGACTGTTAAGTATTCCCAAATTGAGTTTATAAACACTTTTCACCACTTTCAGAGCACACAGAGCTCCTTGTGCTTTTCTCCTCTCTTGCTTTTTTTAATTTGGAGTTTATTGCATTAATAAAGTTGTTCTCTTTGTGCAGTTAAAGTGAATACAAAAATCCCGTATTCTCATTTAATAAGAGCTGCAGAAGCTTACATGCTTTAGGTGAGGCTCATTTTGCTGATGTTCACGCCACATTAAATTAAAGCAGAGGAGCGTTTGGACCTGATCCACCTGCACCCGCTGAGCTTTTCACTGAGTTATCAGACTCACCCAGACTCGTGGGTTATGGTTTGACCTGCGCATCACAGCCTTGTAATTAATTTACTATGAATAATTTAGATTGACTGGCTTGGTCTTATGAAAGAAACAATGCAAGACTCCACGTGTGAAGATTAAGAACTTTAATATATTAAGATAATTGATATATTACTTAAATGCTCATGTGCCTGATCATATTTATGTGATGACAAATCAAAGAATTTAATTTTATTTATCGACTTGGATGTAACTGAATGCAGAAAGAAACTGGTGGCAAGACAAAACGTCTACTGTATTTTCTGACCAGGGCAGGGCCTGGGTGCTAAGCTACAGGGATGTAATGATATTGAGCATGAATGTAGCGATAAATGTGTTCTGCCCGAAACTGATCATAACCCGTTTGCACTGATTCCAATTGAGACATGAAATACTCGCCGTGTGTGTGGCAGGTAGATAAACCTTGCTCTCACTGCTTTACTTTAGTGCAAACGAGTCTGTAAATCGACATCTCCTCTTGAGATAGAGCGGAAAGGAAGTCACAGAAGAACTTTTACATTTTATTTAGACAGCGCCCCAGATGCCCAGGGACAGGTGTCTGCAGAGGACTGTTTTCTGTGGCCATTTCCATTTTGACCTCAACAAATTCATAACACAGACAGTTCATGTTGATGATTACGGTGTTTTCTGCTCCCACTGGGCACCACATCTTTCTAAAGCGGTAGTCTTTGGAATATGACTTTAATTAAATTGTTTTAGGTGACTATTGCAATTTAAAATGTGTAATAATAAAGTAATGGTACATGGGTGTTGTACGTCTTAACTATATAACAGGCTCAAGCACAATATGTGATCTTTAAAATGTTGTTGTTGGTTCAGATATCGCCCTCCAAATATCGGTTCAGCCAGTTTCCTCGTTGGACATATACATTACATGAGAGATAAATAACGGCTACATTACTCATTTTGTCATACAGTTGTGTTTGTTTTCAGGAAAATAAAGTCTACTTTTAGTTCCTACACTGGTACCGGCAGATACATAAAGATGCATTGTGTAACTTTTCTGGTGGAGGGTCCGTCAAATGCTTTTTTCCATGGAGACATTATTGCTTTATCTGGGATGTTTCACATTATGGCATTAAACCTTTCTATCTTCATGGAGACCAACCCAGATCAAGTTACAGGTCAGATCTGTGGAGAGGCAACCCTGCTCACAGGCAGAATGCCTGTTTTTCTAGGTATTTTTGAGCTACAAAACCACCTGTAATTGAATGAATGTAAGGCAGAGCAATGACCTCTCCAGAGAAACAAACAGGTGATGGACCCTCCACCAGAAAATTACACAATGCACCATTTAAGCCGTAGTATCAAAATCAGTATTGTAAGTGAAAAGGCTGAATCAGTGCATCCCTTGCTCATATTTCTATCTTCTCAAATCCTTACTGAGTAATTGAAAAGCTATGAGTGTGAAAGTTGGTGTAGTCTATGTTTTTAATTATAGATGATAGAAGGTATGAATTGTAGATTGGGGTTGAAAGTTGAAAGTTATTTTTCTTTTTCTCCTTGACTTCTGCGAAACATTAACTTTACTGTAATGGTCTGGGGAATTTCAGTATTCTCCTCTGCCTGGGGGTCAGTTCATCTGCGTGTCAGACAATTTTACATAACCGGATGGCTTGTTAGTGACTTGGAATGGACAATTTAGATCGACTGGTTTGGTCTTATGCATGACTTCAAGTGTAATGATTGAGAAATACACAAATTTAACAGAGTAAGATCATTGATATTAAATCGGAAACCGATATACGTTTTTACAGGGCCTATATTGCAGTATTTTTAATGGCATAATATTGTTTCCTCATCACAAACATTTATTGTGAGGTATAAAACCACTTGTAATAGAATCAATGTGAGTTAGAGCTGCTGAATGGTTCACAGTGTGATATTACAGGAAGAGCAATGACAAGCTCCCCCGTCTCTTGATTCACAATTGGGCCATTTTGGTGGTTAGTAGTGAAGTATTGTTTTCCCACCAACTACTACACTGGCGTCATTTAGGTTTACCAGCTGATACATGTCTTTGTGGACTGCAGTCTTGTCAGTGCTGTCTGTGTTATCCAACTGAGGCTGTGAGTGTAGATTTGAAAGAATTTTATTTGCACAACAGAATTTTAATGCATGTGCTTACTTTTTCTTAAATCAGAAAATATGTTATCAAAGGACCCATATTACAGTATGTTCTGATCTATGTTAAAATGTTTCCTCATCACAAATAAACCTGGAGTTGTGTTTTGTTTCATTCACACATGTTTAACGAGGGGTCTCAAATTATCACTTTAATCGTGATTAATTAATTACAGTCATATTTAGCGCGTTATGTTTTTTAATCACGTTAATCTCATTTTTAATCTTTAACTTTACTGTTTCTGTATGCGAGTTGCCTCATTATAAAATCTGTTTTTATGTGTTGTTAGGACACAGTCCCACACTGTGCAGTCCTGCTCCTCTCGCTCCCAAAAAGAATTGTAATTTTCATTCCCGTTCTCACTGCATCTGCGATAAACCTGCACACGTCTGATCTCTGAAAACATCGCGACACAGACAGAGAACAAACTCACCTTCACCATCAGCATCCCTCTGTCACAGAGAGAACATCTATATTCCACTGAGTCGTGTCCCTTTAGTCCAACAGAAGCTGAACCGCATCAGCGCACAAGAGCGTTTTTCTTTTCTCTGCTTAGTTTATGCAAATTAGCCATGCGGTTTTAAGTTTTGTTTCTGTGAGACGTGCACAAAGCTGCATTAAACACATTATTATTGTCAAACAGGTTGATGTGGCTCTAGAGTGATCATGGTTTATATGTTGTAAATTTGAGTTTATTTATGCATATTAGTAATAGTAATAATGATGATACTTCTATAAAAACATTAATGATAGTACGAAAATAATGTAATAATGAATTCAAATTAAAATACCTCAAGTTGAAGCTTTCTCAGCAATTTTTGATGAGATTAAAAAAGAGATTAATTAGATTAATTTATTACATACAATTACATAATTAATTAATCACTAAATTGTTTTAATCGCTTGGTATATAGGTATAATATATATCCAGGTATAGGACTGTCTTACTGGTCGAAATGCATTGGCGTCCCTTCATGCAATAAATTACTTTTAATATATTCAGTCAGACTATCTCGGGTTTATACCTTGCCCACTTTTACATTTTCCAGTAAGGGCAACGTTATGTTTAAACGACTACTAGTTTAACCCTCATAGAGCACCTATACTGCTATTTTTTAACTCTTTTATGACCCAGTGAAGCGCTCTAGCTCTTTTCTTTATCTGACAACTCCAGGTACGTTGTTGAGGAGATAAGAACATTCTAACACGACTTAAAGCTCACAAGAGTCAATTTTGTGTAATATAGGACCTTCAAATAAAACTCAGACAGTGTTGAGGGTCCGTCAAATGCTTTTGTTTGTGGAGATGTTATTGGTTTGTCTGGAATGTTTCGCAGTATGGTATTAAACCTTTTTATCTGCATGGAGACCCACAGATGAAGTTACAGGTCAGATCTGTGGAGAGGCAACACAGTCAGAATGTCTGTTTTTCAAGGGGTTTTTGAGCTATTGAATAAATGTTTCATGTCATACTTAGGGGTGTGCAAAAATATTGAAATATGGATATATCGTATCATTTAATGTGCTGATACACTATTGATATTGCAGGCTGCTGTATCCATATATTACCAAGAGTATTTTTTTTGGTATATTTTACTCAATTATTTTGTTACATTGCTACAGTTTTGTTGCTTCATAGGGAAGGAAACGCATGTATGCAACACATTTGACATATTCACTGAGTAAAATGGGTGTGTTTCATATTAAGTTTGCACAAGAAGTGGTTTAACTAAGAACTTTTAAGTTAGACTTTAGGTTACTGTGTTGTGTTTGCAGGGAGAGCGAAAAAACCAAGCTGCTCATTTCTCAACAAACCCAGAAAGTTGTGGAGAAGGAGGCGGAGACTGAGCGCATCAAGGCTGTCATTGGTAAAAAAAAAATAAATAGATAAAACTGCAATTAAAGTGATAAATGCTAACGTCTGGTGAAAGGCCATAAAAGTGTTCCAATACCACAATAATTATATGTTTATGCTCCACAGAGGCAGAGAAAGTTGCGCAGGTGGCGGAGATCAAGTTTGGACAAAAGGTGATGGAAAAGGAAACTGAAAAGAAGATCTCTGGAATTGAAGGTTTGTCATTACAAAAGAAACTTTGACTGAATGGCTCACCTCATTGTCTTTTCAGATGTTATTTCTTTGCGTAGAATATTCCATTGTATGGCATTAAACCTTAATGCCATACCTAAATCTACAGTTGTGCTCAGTTTACGTACCTTGGCGGAATTTGTGATTTCTTGGCCATTTTTCAGAGAATATGAATGATAACACAAAAACCTTTCGTTCACTCATGGTTAGTGCTTGGATGAAGCCATTTATAATCAAACAACTGTGTTTATTCTTTTTAAATCATAATTACAAGAGAAACTTCACAAATGGCCCTGATTAAAAGTTGGAGTATTTTGTGGTAGTTGTGGATGAGGCTCTTTATTTTCTCTGCTGCCCATTCTTCTTGGCAAAAGGCCTCCATCCTGTAAATTTTTGGGCTGGCTTGTATGAACTGCATGCTTGAGATCTCCCCAGAATGGCTTAATGATATTGAGATCAGGAGACTGAGATGGCCACTCCAGAACCTTCACTTTATTCTACTGTGGCCAATGACAGGTCGACTTGGCTTTGTGTTTTTGGATCATTATCATGTTGGATTATCGAAGTACGTCCCATGCGCAGCTTCTGGGCTGATGAGTGCAAATTTTCCTCTAGTATTTTTTGATAACATGCTGCATTCATCTTGCATCAATTTAGACCAAGTTTCCCTGGCCTTTGTAGCTCACAAACCATCCACCTCCATGTTTCACAGTAGGAATAGTGTACCTTTGATCATAGGCCTTGTTGACTCCTCCTCAAATGTAACATTTATGGTTGTGGTGAAAAATAAGTGCCTCCTTATTGTCATCTGTGGGTTTTTCATTGCATATCAAATAATTTTCCTGGCCATTGTGGCATAAATTTTTTGGTCGACCTGTGGTTTGGTTTCAACAGAATCTCTCATTTTCCGCTTCATAATTAGAGGTTGAACACTGCTGATTGGCATTCTCAGTTCCTTGGATATCTGCTTATATCCCTTTCCTGTTTTATAGAGTTCAATTACCTTTTCCCACAGATCTTTTGACAATTCTTTTGGTTTCCGCATGACTCAGAATCTAGAGATGTCAGGGCAAGGGTCTGTCAGGAGCCCAGAATGTATGTAAACTTACGAGCACAACTGTATCCCCATGGACCAGTAGTGGAACATAACAAAGTATAAGTAGTAAAGTACTGCTCTTAAGTATACATTTTAGGTATCTCTACTTTACTTGAGTACATTTTACAGCAAATACTTTTTACTTTTACTTCACTACATTTGAGAGCAGGTATCTGTACTTTCACTATATTTTTGAACAGGACTGAAAAGTAAAAGGTTTTTTTATTATTGTTTGAGACCTGCTGAAAAGGTTGAGGATTTATTTTTAACATGTTCATAGCTACTCAGGTGTTTCTGCTGAACCAAATTCAGCACAAATCTGTATCAAAATCACTACATTTTAAGCTTTATTAGTTCTCAAAATTTACATGAAATACTTTCAAAATCTGGATGAAATACTTTTACTTTTTACTCTTTCAGTACATTTTACTTAAAGGAGCGTTGTTTAACTTTTTTTGGTAAAAGGCCTGTATTGCTTTGTCTGGAATGTTTCACAGTATGGTATTAAACTTTTCTATCTTCATGGAAACTAGACCAGACCAAGTTACAGGTCAGATCTGTGGAGAGGTGACCCGCTCACAGTGAGAATGTCTGTTTTTCAAGGTATTTTTGAGCTGTAAAAACACCTGTAATTGAATTTATGTAAGGTAGAGTTGTTTAATGTTATACTGTGGAACATTCCAGGCAGAGCAATGACATATCCATAGTAACAAGATGGTGACAGACCCTCAACCAAAAAGTTACATAGTGCACCTTTAAGTCATGATGATTTTACATAACAGCAAAATTGAGCAATTCTCCACCACTGCCATGGACTCAAGCTCATGATGTCAGGAGGCCAGAGTTGATATCCAGAGTGAACAACAGCTCATTCCCCTGAACTGAACTCGTCCTGTCCTTACATGCACCTCTGGGTGGTGTGAGGAGTGAGGGCTTTTGTTTCAATTGTTGGTTTAATGCTTATCTCTTTTTTCATGCCGATGAAAAGCATTGAGTTCTCAGCCGCAGGTTTATTTGCAGTAGGCAGCTGTGTGGAGTTGGAACGTCGCCTGCTTGATTCTGTAAACTTTGATTTATTTGAGTCTTTTTATTTTACGTATGAATGTATTAATTTCGGTCATCAGCGTTTTGTATATTATTTCGGGGAATTCAGTTATATTACTTTGCATTTATTATTTAGTAGTAATTCTATTTATTTTTTTATGTTTGGTACACTGTCCTTTAGTGTTATGGAGAAAAAAAACTTTTATTTTAGTCTATTACCAGTTATTTGCCATCAAGTTTAAATTGCAATTGCATTTTTGTACCATATTTTCTGGGCTATTAGACTCTAACCCCATCAAAAAACGACAGCACTCCCCGCAAGCCAGAGCGCCCTATTCACGAATCCACTCTGGTGTCCCAGCACGACTTGAGTAAACTACAAAGCCGCACCACCCACAGAACACACAAATACACAAGGAGCAGACAGCGACCACGCAGCGAAAAACACCTGCAGTCACACACGTCACTCCACGCGGACGAGGAATGAAACAGAGGAACGAACCGAAAAAGCGAGTACGATGTGCCACTTCTAGACACAACTGAACAACTGAGTCACTGCGAACACGCCAACAATCCGTTGGTCCCAGACAGCACCCTCCCTACACGCCACAACTGAACAAAGCCCAGAGTCACCGTGAACGTGCCAAACAAAGTCCCACTGACCCATCCAACTGTTGTGTTTCGTTTAAAGTCCGGTGCGGTTTATTTGTGGAAAAAAGTTCTAAAATAGACCATTTAATGACAGTGCGTCTTATTATCCAGAGTGCCTAATAGCTCGTAAAATACAGTAATTATTTAGGATTATAATGTCCTTTGCATATATAATATGAAAATATACATTTTTATAGTTACAGTTACAGTTAGTATACATCCCATAGTTTTGTACTTTTGTTTACATTTACTTCATTTTTTTTTTTTTTTTTTTTTGTTGTTTACACAAAGGGCCATTAAGGGTTGCTTTTGTTTCTACATTTCTGTTTCAATTTATTTTATTCTACATTTATTTTACATGTATTTATTTTTAAATATATTTATTTTTACTCACTTTTAATCATTTATTTATATATTTTACACTGATATATTTTTTTACTTTTTTTTTTACAAACTTTTACTAATCTTACGTTTACATTTACTCATTTATTTCCACTTAAAATTTTTTTTGCTACATTTATTTATTTGTGCTTCGTTTTCAAAAAAAATTTTTTTTTTTTTCAATTTTTCACTTGCAAATGCAATGCAAGTGTGTGCAGGTGGCTGCTTGTACTACTTCAACTACTACTACTTCTACTTCAAATACTACTCCTACTACTACTCCAAATCCTGTAATAATTAGAAAAACAGGAAAACCTGTGTCATGCACTCGAAAATGAACAGGCTATTGATTAGCTTGAACGGTGATGCAATTCTAAAATGTTACAGACCACGAGAGAGCAGTGAAATACAACCTCATCTTGTAAATGTTCAGACCAAGATGTAAAAATTAGTGTTTAACTTTTGTTGTTTGGGCTTTAAAGGTCGTATTCCACAGAGTTGTTTTGTTTCATTCACACTCCTTTATTATTAGTCTGTCTACATCTTCAATGCTCCCAATGCTCTGTTCCATATTGTGATGTCATGCTTTGGTAGTTTTCAAGTTAACAGCTACTTTTTTATCTTTAGTTCATTAGAAATTGGCAATTCTTGAGCTGAAATTATCCAAATGGTTGTAGTAAAGGTATATGGAGTTTAAAAACACAGCAGAGCACTTCCTGTTTTACCGTATAGCCTAAATATGTAGGATTTGTGTGTTAAACATGTGTGAATGAAAGAAAACACATCTCCAGGTCTGTTTAGTGTAGTTAAACTAGTTTCAAACATCTTAAAAATACTGAGAAGACACAGGGGTTTAGTTACTAGAGATGTAGACAACCGTATTTTCCGGGTTATTAGGCACCCTGGATTATAAAACGCGCTGTCATTAAATGGTCTACTTTCGAACTTTTTCCACAAATAAACCGCACCAGACTTTAAACGAAACACAACAGTAGGATGGCTCAGTGGGATTTTGTTTGGCACGTTCACGGTCACTCTCGGCTTTGTTGTGGCGTGTAGGGAGGGTGCTGTCTGGGACCAACGGATTGTCGGCGTGTTCTCAGTGACTCAGTTGTTCAGTTGTGTCTAGAAGTGGCACATTGCACCCACTTTTTCGGTTCGTTCCTCTGTTCCATTCCTCGGTCTGCGTGGAGTGATGAGTGTGGCTGTGGGTGTCTGTCGCTTCGCGGTCGCTGTCTGCTCCGTGCGTGTTTGAGTGCGCTGTGGGTGGTGCGGCTTTGTAGTTTACTGAAGCCATACCCACCGCTTGTGGGGCGTGTGGTCGTTTTTTGATAGGGTTAGAGGCTTAAGAGCGTGCCTAATAGCCCGGAAAATACTGTATTTTTTTTGGGTCCAGTTTATTCCTCCTAAAAGAGATTTTCATTTAAAACTGAAAGTTCCAGGCACTATGGCAGTGGCCGGCGCCTTTCTCACCTTCAGTTCCTGGCAAGTTTTATTCCAGACATTCATTTGTGGAGTCTCCATGTCGGCCAAGTCTTTGCGTGGTTTTCAAGGTGCCATCGGTTTAGTCTGAATAAACATAACCTTTAGAGCAGTTGAGAATTAATAGAACTGTCACGTCTCAAGTGTTTTTGGTAAAAGAGTTGATATCACTCAACTGGACTATAGTTTTGGAGTGAAGATGTTTTTCTATTCATCCACGTGGTTTCATCAGTTCTACATTATTATGGGGTATTAAGTGCTCATGCATTATATATTTAGATCACCATAACTTTTGTTGTATTGAAAATGCTATGTTTGCCAAAATAATGTATTAACATGTTTTACACACGAGTTTTAGTTAAAGGTGCATTGTGTAACTTTTCTGGTGGAGGGTCCGTCACCTGCTTGTTTCTATGGATATGTCATTGCTCTGCCTGGAATGTTCCACAGTATGTCATTAAACAGCTCTACTTTACATTTATTCAGTTACAGGTGGTTTTAATAATTCAAAAATACCTAGAAAAACAGACATTCTGACTGTGAGTGGGGTCGCCTCTCCACAGATCTGACCTATAACTTGGTCTGAGTTGGTTACCATGAAGATAGAAAAACGTTAGAGACAAAGCATCTACATGGAGGAAAGCATTTTAGGGACCCTACATCAGGAAAGTTACTCAATGCACTTTTAAGTCACTCCTTTTTTAGGTCCTTAAGAGCACTATTTGCCTTTCGCTTTTGAAACAACTGGACAACAGGCTTTTTGATTGATTGATTGACTGATTGATTGATTGATTGATTGATTGATTGATTGATTGATTGATTGAGAGAGAGAGAGAGAGAGGTAGAGAGAAACTTTGTTGATCTCTGCTTCTCAGTGGCCTTTATGTCTCAGTCAAAGGTCTCAGTGCAGTTTATCAGGAGGACGGGTCATGGAGGGTCAGCAGATCCCAGAGGTGGGGACATGCAAGTCATGACGTGGACTCGAGTCAGACTTGAGTCACTATTTTTAGGACTTGAGATTTGACTTGATAAAATGGACTAAGACTTGGGACTCGAATTGGACTTGAAGGTCAATGAGTTGGGACTTGACTCGCACTTGAGGCCTGTGTTCTTTCTATTCTGACCATAATGATTCACACTAAAATTTTGTCAAGACATTTAAAAAGGAAAAATTAACTAAGTTAATTTCTACAACTCTTGTATACTCTATAAATACTTATATATAAATATACTGTGACTTTTTAAGTACAATTTAGTTTAAAATTCATATAAATTACAAAAATCTAAGCTATATTTGGTACTTAAAGACCTGAAAAGACTTGAAGCTTCTGGACAAAGGTGTCCCACTTTGTGTCCTGCAGGATCACAGTAAAGTCCAGGACAAAACTGGCACCCCAAATGAGAGGGGTGCCAGTACTGAAACTAAATGAGACTCACATGAGGCTCATTCTGCTTTCTGATTGGACAATCGTCCTAATAGGTTCCCAAGGCTTTTATTTATTTCTTATCCTTGTGGGGAAATTTGGCTCGGAGCAGGGGTCAGTAGCATGGACTTACAGACATGACATAACAAAAGACAAAGAAAAACTGTAAAACTGGGCAATATACAATCACTCCACACATCTGCACAGTTAGTCTGTGTTGTTAATACATTTTTATACCTGTTATTTTTGCATAAAGAAGCCCTGTATCTCCTCCCAAACTGGCATGAGGCATGAGACTTATCTCTGATGAAACACCTTGTCCATCACCATAAATAACAATTGCAATACTGTTTTGATGTTATCATTAAAAGCTGTGTTTGATTTGAACATGTATTCCTCATATCTGGGTCATGTTATAAAATTGAATGAAGTCTGTTTCTCTTTCACAGACGGTGCCTTCCTGGCGCGACAGAGGGCCAAAGCAGATGCAGAGTTTTACACAGCGCAGAAAGCAGCTGAAGCTAATAAGGTAAAAGGCTTTAAAGACATTCTACTGAAATGTTCTCATGTTCTGTTGTCAGTCTTGTCCCTGACTTTCTCACAATTAATGTAAACTAAAAATGAAAGTGAAACCAGTCCGGAATACTTTGACAATGACGTGATTTTATTCAAGTCAACAAGGCGACAGCGGCCACAGAATAAATAGTTGTGGGAATAGAACTGCCAACATCTGCGCGTCCTCAGAATCACTACATTTGAAGCCTTATAAGATCTCAAAATCTTTGTACTAAAGTAAAAGTATTTCACATTTTTAAATGGCTACTTTAATAATTTTATTTTGCATGTGATACTTTTACTTTTACTTGAGGATTTTTGCTGCAGTATCTGTATTTTTACTTAATTAAAAAACTAAATTGAGTACTTCTTCACCACTGACAGTACCTTTAGTTGTTATGCATTGGTCGATCATTGTATGTGGATTTTAAAGATTGATGTGGCACAACAGCAGAAATTTCAGATAGTGAGTGGGCTGAAGATTTGGTATTTTGGGCTGAAGATTTGGTATTTGTGAAAAGGTCAGATAAACAAAATAGTTCTGGACATCCCCTTGTTGCCATGTCTCCTTTTTAGTTTTTTTTTTAGTCTAAGCGGTCAGCAAGACATGTCTTTATTCAGCCATGAATTTCTTTTACAGCCCTAATATACATACAGTATCTTGAATATTGAGCTGTTTTATTTTTATTTCATTTCTTTTTAATTGTGGGTCAGCTGTGGTTAGTGTTCATCCATCCACCTGAAAGCCAGCGGTTCAATTCCAGCTTCAACTAGTGCATGCTGTGGTAGAGTCCTTGGGCAAGACCAGAGGTGGGGAATTGCGATTTGTGACTTGGACTCGAGTCAGATTTGAGTCACAATTTTTAGGAATTGAGACCTGGGACTCAACTTGGACTTGAAGGTCAGTGACTTGGGACTTGACTTGAGGCCTGTGACTTGAGAAGACTTGATGCTTTTCCTAAAAAAAAATGATGTTTTTTGAAAACACTTTTCTCTTTACAGTTAATTAATGCAGCACTTAATTTTACAGGAACAAACTGGAACATGTCCCTCCCACTTCTCTGTTACTTTGGATGTAACTGAAGTACTGTGATATCCTCAAATGTACTACAGTACTATACATAACAATAACGTATAATACAGTAATATACAATACAATAAAGTAAAACAGAGGGAACTACAAAGAACATGTGTTATTTAGCACTTTTAAATCTGAATTATATCTGTTCAGACCATAATGATTCACACTGAGATCTGAGAACTTTGCATTTCTGTTACTCTACTACTTCTACTATATACAGTGACTTTTTAAGTACAAATAAGCTTAAAAATCATATAAATAGCAAAAATCTAAGCTATATTTGGTGCTTTGGTTTAAAGACTTGAAATGACTTGAAGCTCAAAGCAGACGACTAGAACTTGACTTGGATTTATGGGCCGGTGACTCGAGACTCAACTTGGACTTTCCTGTATTTGACTTGGACTCGAGGGTAAAGACTTGAGACTTACTTGAGAACAAAGACTTTAGACTTACTTAAGACTTGCAAAACAACGACTTGGTCCCACTTCTGGGTAAGACACTTCACCCTCCTCGCTTAGTATGAATGTGGTATGTGGGCCAGTGGTGCAGATTAGCAGTCTGCCCTCTGTCAGTCTACTCCAGAGCAGCTGTATAGCTTTGAGAGCCTTGTCAAAGTGAGGTTATGCTTGATAATAATGCACTGTAATGGCATTATAATTCGTACTATTATTAAAGGCTCTATATTACACAAAACTGGTTCCGGTGAGCTTTGAGACATGCTGTAATGCTGTTGCCTCATCAAAATGATACCTGGAGTTACATTTTGTTTCATCTACATGTTTGAGTAACCCTTTATTATAAGTCTGTCTACATCCCCAAAGCTCAAAATGCTCTCTCCCACCATCTCCAAATGATTCTAGAGCACAGGTGTCAAACATAAGGCCCGGGAGCCAGATCCGGCCCCCCAAGACCTTTAATGTGGCCCTTGGGTGATTTTCTACTAAAAATATTTTAATTATATTTTCTATTAAAATATTGGTAATTTTCTTCAGGGCTTAGCATATCAGCGTCTCCAGCGTCTCTGTACGTGGCCCCTCCCACCAGAGCAGCACAAATGAAGACTTGTCTCTTTCCAAACGCTCTTAAAGGACAATCGTTTTGACTGTTGACCGTGACACCCTCATCAGCAAAATGTCAAAATGACAAAAGTGGAGCCGAGTGCAGGATTTTCCAAGAAAAATTTACTTACTCCTATTTGCACACAAGTTCATGTTAAAACATTGTGTTGAAATTGAATTTTTCTTAAAGTTTCAGATTGTTCATAATATTATAATATTATAATATTATAATAAGAAAAAGTGAATCAATTAAAAAAGATTTCTGTAATAGATTTGCGTTTCTCTGCACAAATATTTGAACTTATTGTTATTTTTGGGGTTTATATGACATGAGTTTTCTGATCCGGCCCCTTTGAGATCAAAGTAGGTTGGATACAGCCCCCGGACCAAAATGAGTTTGACACCCCTGTTCTAGTGATAATGTATGGAGTTTAAAAACACAGTGGAGCACTTTTGAGAGAAGAACACAACCTAAATATGCAGGGTTTGTGTGTTAAACATGTGGGAATGAAAAAAAAACACAGCTCCAGGTCTGTTCGTGATGAGGAAATAACATAATAACATAGATCAGAAAACCGCGTATGCTGGGCCCTTTAATTTACATTCTTATATTTTTCTACAGTTGAAACTAACCCCGGAGTATCTACAGCTGATGAAGTACAAAGCCATCGCCTCCAACAGTAAGATCTACTTTGGGAGCGACATCCCGCACATGTTCGTGGACTCGGGGTCAGCGGGCAGCTCGGTCAAAGCCATGGACATCCTGGGAGAGCAGCTGATGGACCTGGATTAGACCGGCTTTTGGACGACCCACGGGACCCCGGACCACCTAGGGACTTGACTACCGGTCTGGGCTGATACCAAGGGGGGAATTTACAAGCACTCATAGTCAAGATTTTCTCAGAGGACTCACTGTAACGCACATGACCAAAGTCTGTTTTAGCTGAGAGGTAGAATAGCTGGATTTCACGTGATAACACAACATTCCATAACTTTCTGGTGTTCAAAATTCCTATATTACGCAAAATTGACTCATGTGAGCTTTTCGCCGTGGTATAATGTTATTGAGTCATTAAAAACATACTTGGAGTTGTTTTGTTTCATTCACATGCTTGAGTAATCCTTTAATAACATAACATCTATCTACTGTACGTTTCCAAAGCTCAAAATGCTTTGTTCCGCCTTATGATGTCATGAAGCGGTAATTTTGAAGTTAACGTCTACCTTTTAACTTTTTTTCAGTAGAGAGTGGCAATTCCAGGTCTGAAACCGTACAAATGATTCTAGTGAAGATGTATGACGTTTAAAAACACAGTGGAACATCCCAAGTGTTTCCAGTTTGAGAGAACTCCCCCAAAATTTCCAGGATGTGTGTTAAAAATGTGTGAATGAAACAAAACGCAACCCTAACCCAGATGTTTTTGATGAGGAAACAACATTATAGCGGAAATGCGGGCCCTTTAATTTATTTTCACTGTGTTAAAAATGTAAAAAAAAAAACAGAATTAGTTCATATTAAACCATGGTCCAAAGTTGTGGTACACTTGTCTTACGCATTCTGAATATCATGAACACTAACCCTGATTCACTGTGATGACTTTTTGAAAAATTGTGAAAGTATGACATAGTGAAATTCCAGATCAGAAAATGAATCAAGCCTTATGAAATTGAAGGCAAGCTGAACATCTTTTGTTAATTTGGACAAATGACTACTGTACATTCCATTTTCGATATGATGTTCCCTGCTTTTTTCCTTTCCATTTCTTTCCTAGACCGTTTCATTATTTAAGGTGTAAATTTTCTGGTGGAGCTCCGTCACCTGCTTTTTTCCCGTGGATATGTCACTGCTCAGCCTGGAATGTTTCACAGTATGGCTTTAAACCTTAGTTTAAACTACCTTAGATTTATTCAATTACAGGTGGGTTTTAAAGCTCAAAAATACCCAGGAAAACAAGTATTCTGACTGTGAGCGGCGTCGCCTCTCCACAAATCTGACCTGTAACTTGGTCTTGTTTGGTCTCCATGAAGAAAGGTTTAATACCATATTGTGAAACATTCCAAACAAAGCAATAACATCTCCATGAAAAAAGCGTTTGACGGACCCTCCACCGGAAAAGTTTGAGGCTTGAATGATTTGGGAAAAATTTGTAATTGATGTTTTTGTTTTCTGTTTGTTTTTTGTTTTTTGGGGGTTTTTTTTGACAAGCATTGCGATTGTGATTTTTTTGTGATATTATGGAATTGTATTTAAAGAACTGATAGAGTGAATTATAAACTGACAAACTAATACAAGAATCACGTTTAGAACATATTTATACGATTCTAAACTACGGGGTTATCAGTTACAATTATGAGACTTAAAAATGTAAAGAGGGGGTATTATGCAAAATTGACTTTCTCTCTAGACTCTTGAGTTTTCTAAAATGTTATACCGCAATTTCTGGACAATAAGCTACTTTTTTCTCACATTTTGAACCTTGCGGCTTAAACAATGACGCAGCTAATATATTACGGAAGCCGAGAGGGGTCACAACAAACGCAAATGCCGCAACAAATACAAATGTGACAACACAACAAAAAGCCACAACAAAGCCACAACACACCAAAAAAAGCCACAACAGAAATGACGGCGGGACTCTATTTTAATGCAAACACCGCAATAAATACAAACACCACAACACAAACGCAAATGCCGCAAAATTAAAAACACAAACATTAAAAAGCCACAACACATCAAAAAGCCACAAAACATCAAAAAGCCACAACACATCAAAAAGCCAAAACGGAAGTGACCGCGGGACTCTATTTTCTGACGGACCGATCAAGCAGCAAGTGAAGAAGAAGAACTACAACATGAAATGAATATATGATAAAACAATAAACTACTTTTACTTACATTTCCAACTTCTCCGTTCCTTTACTTCTCACGTTGTAGTTCTTCTTCTTCACTCTTCGCTTGATCGGTCCATCGAAAAATAGAGTCCCGCGGTCACTTGTGTTGTGGCTTTTTAATGTGTTGCGGCATTTGTGTTGTGGCGTTTGTATTTGTTGCTGCGTTTGCATTAAAATAGAGTCCCGCGGTCTTTTCCGTTGTGGCTTTTTTTGGTGTGTTGTCGCATTTGTTTTTGTTGCAGCGTTTGTTGTGACATCTCTCAACTTCCGTAATATATGGACGGATTATTTGTTTGGCACATTGTCCATTCATATATACAGTGAACCCTCGTTTATCGCGGGGGATACGTTCCAAAAATAACCCGCAATAGGTGAAATCCGCGAAGTAGTCAGCTTTATTTTTTACTGTGATTTTACAATGCAATACTGAACTGCAGAATGAAACAAAAAATAAAACCTCTTTTCAGGCCCAACATGTGTTAAAGAAATAGAAATATTAACGTTTTCTTACAAATAACTATAATAGTTTAAAGAACGGTGTTGTAAAACAATATTTTTATATAGTAATGAATACAAGGTAGGAAACATTGTCACTCGCGTATTTCACAGTCCCTCCAGCTGCGCCTCTTCGTCCTGACTCCGTTGCGCTGTAGCGTCTTTTTCCTACTGAAGGCTGCGCAGGGGTCTTTCTCCGAGAGAAGAACATCGTTATGGGTAGTTGTTGGCACTCTTTCTTTTTCTGAGCAAGAAGATTTTTATAAACGGACATCCCACCTTCAATTATATTTGAGAACTGCAATGAACGACACATCAAAGGGTCCCATTCTTGTGCCGCGCGCTGAATTTGGCAGAATGTACAGAAACGAAAACTGTTGGCATGGGTGTAATGAAAAACCAATATAAACCTTTTTCACTTCTAGACAACAGTAACGCCCCTAAGCCAATCAGGATTCACTGTAAAAAATAAAGCACTGTAAAAAATTCCGCGAAGCAGCGAGGCCGCGATAGGTGAAGCGCGATATAGCGAGGGATCACTGTACGTTCTATGGTTTGGCAACACCGCGACGTTTGGCGACGGCAGCGTGACGATCTGACTCAACGCGAAAAGACGACAAAAGCTTTCAGAGGCAATAAAAGCAGACGGCCCGAACTTGAAAATGCTCTTGAAGACGTGGACACCTGCGGCTTTTATTCAGGTGCGCTCAACAGTTCGGAAATTACGGCAATCACAGACTTTATAAAACAGTGGACTAAGCGAGTGTGGCGTCACTGACAGCGTTCGGCTCTGCTCAAATGAAGTCGCGGTGCTAAAGGTTACAGAGTCAATTTTGGAGCCAGGCTTTATGTTATGAATAGTTTTTTTTTAACAAACAAAATAGCGAAATAAAAACACCAGAATCATGTAGAACGATACGAACATTTTAACACCGAAATGACGAGGCTCACTGCAGCAGTTATGGAGGGAGGAGCCGCAATATTCCAATGTAAATCAATGGGAGTCAGAAGGAGCCGGGTTTGAGTAATCTAGCAATCTCTCAGTCCCTATTTAAACTAGGGATGGGCATTGGATCAAATTTTCTTAATCGATTGTCAGGAGAATTAAAGATCAATTTTCGAATTAATCATTAACGTTTTTATATTAAAATTATCATTATTATTACTATGACTAATCTACATTAATAAACTCAACTTTACAACATATTAACCCTCACCACTCTAGAGCCACATTTGAGATTATAATGTATTTAAGGCAGATCTGACACATTTGTTTGTGTTTTACAGAAACTAAACTTAAAGCCTATAAACTATAAGTGCTGAAAAAAACAGCTCTTTCCTTGTGCGCTGATGCGGTTCAGCTTCTGTCCGACTAAAGTATAGGAGTCGGTGGAATATGAGTGTTCTTTCTGTGACGGGGGGATGTTGATGCTGCTGATGGCGAGTCTGTTCTGTGTGAGTGTGCGCCGCGTGGGAGGTGATTCATGCTTTCAGAGATCAGACACGTGCAGGTTTAGCGCAGCTCTTTCTGTTGCAGTCACCGGGATACTGCGTTTACATGGACCATGACAACACCGGGACACTGATGTGCATGTGAACACACACACTGAGTGATATAGTGATCTCCAAGGAAGTGCCAGAGCCCAAACGTGTAATCGACGAAATTCTTAATGATCAATTATCGATTAGTCGACTAATCATGCCCATAACTAATTCGAACCCTCCTTATGGTTAGCAGGTTAGACAAATCTCCGTAAGTGTATAAGAGGCATGATACAAAACAATACACTTCACAAACCCTCTCTGAAGTTGGAGTGGCTTAGCATGGAGAGCAAAACAAGGGCAGAGTCAAAAAAAAAATCTGTATGTGTTAGCAGTTAGTACGCCCTCTTTAATAGTGTTTAGTATATCTCATTTACAGAGAATTTTCACAGGAGCTTAGGTCAGTTTCACTTGAAATGTTATCACTTGTTTTGGCAGTGAACCAGACTTTCCCTCTTCTTTCATTTTTTTATCTTCTATTTGTATCTTACTAGGGTAGTTAGCCAAAATAAGACCAAAAAGTCGCGGTAAATACTGAGGAAAGTGACTCAACAACAGAACACCGAAAGTTGTTTTCATTTGAAAGCTATAGGGGATTTTGGCTATTTTGTAATGCTGTAATGGTGAAAGCTCCATTTTTTTTCTTTTTTTAAGCATGAGTAATTCTAGTTGTGTAGTCATCATAGCCAAAGTTGCACAAAAATACAAAAATATCAGCCTATGAAAATGGATTGATTTAATAGTATACAGTTAAAGGGCCCGCATTACGCTTTTTCCTGATGTATGTCATAATGTTGTTTGCTCATCACAAACCTTACTGGAGTTGTGTTTTGTTCCATTCACACATGTTTAACACACAAATCCTGCATATTTAGGCACTTTTCTCAAACAAAAAAACACTGTTCCACCTTGTGATGTCAGGTGGTAATACAGGAAGTGCTCCACTGTATTTTTAAACTCACATTTACAAGAATAATTTGGATTATTTCAGATCTGGAATTGCAGATTTCTACTGAACTAAACTAAAGGTAAAAGGAGCTGTTAACTTGAAAACTACCACTTCATGACATCACAAGGTGGAACAGAGTGTTTTGAGCTGTAGATATGTAGACAGAATATTAATCAGGAGGGGTCAGTAGCTCAGTTAGTAGAGCATTTGCCCACTGATCAGAAGGCTGGTGGTTCAAGCCCTATTCTGCACTGGTTGAACGGTGAGATCCACTGATCCACAGGTCGGATGTGCGATTTCAACTGAAAAAGATGAATGCTGCTGTTGTTGTTTCCTTGGGCAAAGCACCTACCCCTCCTAACCCATTTATTTGTGTGAATGAAACAAAACACAACTCCAGCAGTGATGTAACAATAACCGAAATACCGTGATATCGTATCATCAAAGTTCTCACAATAATATCGTGGACCATCACAATATATCGAATTACTTGTCACTTTGCTTAAATTAAGAGTTATGGTGCAGCAATAGCAAAAACACCATGATCCTTTGCTGCATTTCAGTATAGACTACAAGTAAATAACAGTTCTAACAGTTTTAAGTCTTTGGATTAAGGCTTGTCAAGGCATTTTAAGTGGAAAAAATAGCATATTAACAATAATAAATATCGTACCGTGAGATGTACCTTATACTCCGGTGCGACTTACATATTAAAATGTTCAGAGTGACAGCCACAAGAGGCTCTAGGCTCGTGTGTCAGTATCTCGTACTACTATTACTCCTATACCACTGTCACTTCTCACTCATGAGTGACTCACGCATGTCTCCTGTAGAAAAAGCCGCTGTCTCGCTGCCAATAATGAACTATTCAGCCGAAGTATGCACCATGTAACTTTCCTGGAACATGCACCATGTAACTTTCCTGGAAGTCACTGGATAATTCGACAAAGCCTGGACTTCACTGACAACTGAAACCATCCTGTCGGGATTCAGAAAGGCCGGAATAATTCTAACTGGAACTGATGCTGAGTCTGACCACAGCTACACAGAAGAGAAAGTGGTGCTCCGTTTACATCATGGATCTATGGTTTATCTCTGGAGGTCACGCAGAAGTGACACAGAGGACGAAGAATTTAGAATTTAGAGTGAGATCGTGAGTTTGGTAAACTTATGTTGTTTATGCTATAATTATCTGAATAACTGTGAATATATTACGTTAACATATTTTTGTAAAATATTAGCCATTTTTTGACTGGTGCGACTTATACTCCAGAGAGATTTATAGTCCAGAAAATATGGTATATTGTGTAAATATCGTACAGAGAGATTTGGATATTGTTACATCCCTAATCATGAGCCTCTCCACCATATCATGAGCTTTCCCACGATATCGCAATAAATATCGTACCGTAAGCTTCATACCGTGATGATATCGTATCGTGAGACTTGGACTAAACTCCAGGTATGTTTTTAGGAGGAGGTAACAACATAACACGACTAAAAGCTCACAAGAGTCAGTTTTGCGTAATATAGGACTTTTAATTTGTTTAATGACTTATTGTTCTTTTTGATTGCCTTTTTATTCATATTCATATTTCTATTTATTAATCCTGGGTAACAGTCTAATGCAGTGGTTCTCAAAGTGGGGGTTGAAACGTACAGGGGGGTCGGGATACGAGACGATTTCAAGATATGGTTTAAAAATTTAGATGTTGCGTTT